CTTTTCCTTGAAATAGTGATTTATCACCATAAACTTCTACTTAGAACTGCTTTGTTTACATGGCATAAATATCAGTTATGTTGTATTTCCATTTTTGTTGCTTTCAAGGTACTTTTTGAGTTTTCTTTTATTTCTTTGTTGACACGTGGTTTTTAGTGGTACCTTGTGTAGTCTTCACATGTTTTTGAGTTTTCCAGTTTTCTTCTTTAAATTTATGTCCAGGTTTATACTATTGGGGTTAGAAAAGATGTTGGATATGTTTTTGAAATTCTTTAATTGGTTGAAACTTATTTTGTTGTCTAACATATGATCTATTCAGGAGAATGCTTCAAATACACTTGAGAAGAATGTGAGTTCTATTTCTGTTGGGCGGAATGTTCTGTAATATGGATCAATCTGTTAGGCCTAAGGATTCATTATAGCAAATGTTTCTTTTTTGACATTCTGCCTGGATGATCTACCTGACGAAATACATAGGTACTTAAAAGTTTCCTACTATTATTGTATTACTGTTTGCTTCCCTTTTATTCCTGTCCATATTTGTTTTATGTATTTAGTTGATTCTGTGTTGAGTGCAGGCTTCCCTGGTGGCTCATTAGTAAGGAATCTGCCTGCCAAGCAGGAGACGTGGGTTTGATCCCTGGGTCAGAAAGATACCCTGGAGAAGCAAATGGCAACCTATTCCAGCATTCTAGTCTGGGAAATCCCATGGACAGAGGAGCGTGGTGGGCTATAGTCTATGAGGCTGCAAAAGAGTTGGACACGACTTTGTAACCAAACAATAAAACAACAAATGTTGAGTGTATATATATATTAATAAATGTTGTTTCTTCTTCCTGTATTGTTCCTGATATCAGTAAGCAGTACCCTTCTTTATCTCTTACTATCAGTATTTGTTTTAAAGTCCATTTTATCTGACATTAGTATACTTAACTCCAGCTTTCTTTGGGTTTCTATTTACGTGGAATATCTTTTTCCATCTTTTCAGTTTTAGTTTGTGTGTCTTTACACCTGCATGGAATCCCTTGTAGGTATGAGAGTGGTGGGTCTTGCTTTTCATTCATCATCCGTTCTGTGTTTTGACTGGAATATTTGATACATTTACTTTAAAAGTAATGTTTGATGTCATGGACTTACTGTCATTTTCCCCTTGTTTTCTGGCTCTCTTGTAGTTCCTCTGATGCTTCCATCTGTTCTTGCTCTCTTCCTGCATTCCTTCCATTTTTTTTTTCTTTTGTGTTTCCAATTTTTTTTTTTTTGTTTTGTGTTTGGTTTGAATTTTGTTTTGTTTTTGTTTTATGGTTACCATGAGGCTTGCACATAACAACATATATCTCTCACAGTCTAAGTAGATAACAAAGCTTTGAATGCACTCTATATTTTGACTTAGAATATATTTATTTTCCTCAACAGGTTTTATGCTTTGTATATTTTATAACGTGTTATGTTACATGTAGCTTATCACAATATTATAGTTGTACTTTTCATGACTCTTGACTTATGCAAATCATGTTACCTTTAATTACCTGACTTGAAAGTGAATGTGAAAGCCACTCAGTCATGTCTGTCTCGTTGCAACCCCATGAACTATGGAGTCCATGCAATTCTCCAGGTCAGAATACTGGAAGGGGTAGCCATTCCCTTCTCCAGGAGATCTTCCCAACCCAGGGATCAAACCCAGGTCTCCCACATTGCAGGCAGATTCTTTACCAGTTTAGACACAAGGGAAGCCCAATTGCCTACTTTACTTATTCAATTATTCTGAATTTCAGTATATATTTACTTTTACCATTGAGATTTATCCTTCTTATGTTTTCCTTTTACTAATTAGTACCTTTTCTAAACATTAAAGAACTCCATTTATTACTTCTACTAAGGTTGGGCTAATGGTGTTAAACTCCTTTAGATTTTGCATGTCTGTAAAACTCTTCTCTCTTCTCTTCAATTCTGAATGACAACTTTGCTTGGTAAAAGTCGTCTTTTTCTTTCAGCATTGTGAATTTACCATACCACTACCTACTGGACGGCAATGTGAGTGCTGTCAAAGCTCCTCATGTTTTTATAAGCGGTTCCCTTAGAAGCTGCTGCTTCTAAGATGCTTCCTGTCTTTAATGTTTGATGTTTAATTATGTTTCTTGGTGTGGGTCTCATTGACTTCATCTTATTTACAGTTCTGGGCTTTTAAAATCTGGATGTCTGTCTCCTTTCCCAAGTTAGGGAACAATTAACCATTATTTCTTCAGAAAAGTTTTCTGTCCCTTTCTCACTCTTCTGGAACCTACATAATGTGATTATTGGTCCACATGATGTTGTCCTATAATTCCCTTACCTTAATGTTTGTGCAGTCATTTTTCCTTTTGCTGAGTTTGTTAATCCTTTCTATGCTCTTTTTAGTTTAACACTGCAATATTCTATTGTATATTTCAGTTCAGTTTTGTATTCTTCAGTCCTCTGACTTCTATGCAGTATTTTTTTATATTTCTTGTGGTTTTTATGTTCTCACATTGTTCATGCAGTCTTCTCCTTATCTTGGTGAGCATCTTTCAGCATATTATTTTGAATTCTTTACTGGGTAATTCATTTATATCCATTTGATTATGGTCATTCTATGATATATTATCTTATTAAAGTATCTTATTCTTTTGTTTGGAATCTATTCTGTTGTTTCTGCATTTAAGTTAATTGTCTCTTGTTTATCTAACTCTAGATAAAACAGGCATCTCTCCCAGTCTTGAAGGAGTGGCACTAAACAAGATGAATCTAGTCATTCAGGCCTATCCTAGATTTTGCTTTTCTTTGAAAATTTCCATATTGTCCAAGCATCAGCCAACTGCATTATCAGTATCTTTGAGTTGTTAAGGGTATGCTCAGACCTGTCAATGTCCTAAAATGAAGGACCTGACTTAGCATCTAAGATTGGGGTGATTGGAAACCCGAACTTCAGTTAACAGCCTTTAAAGTATGCAAATTATACATGCCTCTGAGTGTAAAGGTAAGTTCCACAGGTCAACAGAGAAAGATATAGAGAAGAATGATGGGTGGCATTCTCAAAATTTCGGGTGCTTTCTTCAGGAACTGGAGAAAGCAAACGGGCAGGGTGACATTAGGCCCACTGGGCTCTGCTTGTTGAGAGAACCACCAAAGGCTGTAAGATGTGTGCCAAATAGGAAGCTTCCCTTTCAGACAAAATCTCCTGGACACACTAATAGGCCACTTTCACAGAAAGTCTGGGGTGTGTTTCAATCTCCTCTCTGTGCAGTGCCCTGGGGAGATAGCTGACCAAGAACTTACTTCTTCAATTGTAATTATTAGAGTCCCATGGGACCCAGCAAGCAAGTCCCTCTGACCAGAGCTTTCTCATCTCCCTTTCTCTCAAACTTACAAAACTGCTGTATACTATGAGAATCACCATTTACCAAATACCATTGGCAAAGTTGCTCCAATATTTGCTCAAAATCTGCTCCAGTCTTTGCTCAAAACCTATTACCCTGCACATTTAGCAAGAGTTACCATAAATCTCTAAAGTAAAGGGTCCAGGGATAAGAAAGGAAGCAACAAACAAATGAAAAAGTAAACCCCCCCCCCCCAAAAAAGAAAGAAGTAGCTGAGTCCAAGATGGTGAGCAATCAGAACTCCAAGAGAGCATGAGTCTCATTATATGTTTATTTTACTCTATTAGAATATTAAATGACACACCTACCAGTGCCCATAAATGGAAATTATTGTTCAAAAAGGATTAATAAATGTAGGCACTCCACTCCTTTGAAAAAGCCCTGCCCCTTCCCTGGAGGACTAATGCATATGCTTCTGCATCACTAGCCTCACTCTTCCTTCCCTCATCTTTACATTTTTAAAGTAAATCCCTATCACCACGTAGGTGAGAAGTTCATCTGTGAACTTCTTCATTCTTTGCCCATTGAAGAAATTTTGTTATCTGTCGAGAAATCTCAGCTTCCATTTCATTACTCTGCTTCTTGAATAAAACAAAGCAAGAACTGTCCCCAGTCCAGGTAGAGAGGCTAGGGTCCATGGGACTTAATTCAGTAACAGTATTAGTCTGTTGTTACTCTGTGTGAAATATTTAACATCCATGTTACAAAACATATTTTATCATCCTTGCCGCATAAATCAGTTAAAATGTGTATTGTTACATTTATCATAAAATCCCAATTTCTGTATCACGATTGCTTGCTTAGCTCCTTTCCTACATTTTCTAGTCCTTCCCGGACCTCTTTCTCTGAATCACGATTCTTTAACCTGATTGCATTTTACCATCTTTAAAAGAAAATTCTGTGCTTTTAATATTCTTCCATATAGTTTCAGTCATTTCTTTTGGTTTGTTTTATCCTTCCCAGGCTTTTGAGCTTTTAACATTTCTTCACATCCATGTATCACTTCACTGTCTTTCCCTGAAAAGTTTTCAACAAGTTCTTCATGTGACCAGAATTATTTCTTCTCTTTAAGGTCCCAACATGAGTTTTGTCTTATAGAAAGCTTCCTAGACACTACGCCCTTTTTTTTTTTACCATAAAGTTTCTCTTCTCCATGTATTCCCTATTTATTTCCCTCTAGGCACTTAATATAAGTAATTTGAATTTTGCTTATTCTCATGTTGACTTTAAAATTCTGTCCCTGATAGACTAATATAAAATATATAACATTTTTCTATCTTGTTAATCATTCACATGACAGACTAACACAATTCTTGTAACAGTACATGCTTAAATATTTTTTGACAGATTAATGAATCTCACATCAAGATTCCAGTGCTTCACAAGAACTCATCATCAACGACTTGATACTACAGCACTGAACAGAGAAATATGAAGCACATTTTCTACAATATCAAATACTCATTCCCTTTAATAAACATTAAAATAATTCATAGATATTTAGTAAGAATGCTTTTGTCTACCTTATATCAAAGATATCATACATCAAGAAATGCTATAAATATCTCCCAAAAGAAGACAAAGTTTTGAAAAAAAATCACATCTTACATTGCTCCAGGATTCATTATGCATGCAGTTCCCGGACAGGAACATTCGTAGATGTCATTATTATACCTTAATCCCAGCATAATTCCAAGTAACTGCGTGAAAATAACTGAAAATGCCTCTAAAGTTATCATCTTTGAATACTAAATGAAATAAAAAACAGAATGGTTGCTCAAGTTATTTTCTTCAACCCCTGGTTTTTTCCATTAATTGTGACTATATTATCTAAATGCAAATACTAATTTAATAAGCTATTATATAAAGCTCATTATTTTCTTAAGAAAATTGGCAAAGTTAGATTTTGTTATTCTTTTTGCATAATAGTCCTCTCAATACAAATGGCATTCACCTATAAACAATAATATGAATAATATATGTGTTCCTTACCTGCTGCTGATTTAATTCTAATAAACTGAAAAAAAATATTCTGAGAAGATTAATCATTGTTTCAGTAACTATAATACTTTTAATTTAAACACTTTGAAAAATATACAGATTCTTAACTGAAAGTCAGTTTTAATGTCAGAAATAGTTTTAGGATAAAATCAATTTTTTCCTAAAGGCAAAATTCTAGCCTTAAAAAAATAAAACTTGAATAGTGATGAAAGCAACACACAAAGCCCTGGTTGGTAATCAATGATGTTTTTAACTATCTCCATAGTTTTGCCTTTTCCAGATTGTAATAGATTTGGAATGATACAGTGTGTAGACTTTTCAAACTGGCTTCTTTTACTAACCAAGAATCCTCTAACTAGCAAGACTCTAATTCAGATTTGATGGAGAAATCAAAAGGTTTACAGCCAAGGAAAACATAAGAGAATTCAGCACCACAAAACCAGCTTTACAATAAATGCTAAAGGAACTTCTCTAGGCAGGAAACTCAAGGGAAGGAAAAGACCTATAAAAGATAAGCCCAAATGGTAATAGGATAATACATGTTGATAATTACCTTAAATGAAAATGGATTAAATGCACCAACCAAAAGACAAAGACTGCCTGAGTGGATACAGAAACAAGACTGGTATATGTAGTACCTACAAGAGACCCTTGTCAGAACTAGGGAAACTTACAGACTAAGAGTACGGGAACAGGGGATGGTGTTCCACACAAACAGAAATCAAAAGAAAGCTGGGGAAGGAATGCTATTTTCAGACAAAGTAGACTTTAAAATAAATACTGTTATGAGAGACAAAGAAGGACCCTACACAATGATCAAGGTTTCAATTCCAGAAAAAAACTACCAATTATAAATATATACACACCCAAGATAGGAGCTTCTGAATATGTAAGGCAAATATAAACAACCATAAAGGAAGAAATTGACAGTAACACAATAATAGCGGGGGACTTTAACACCCCTCCTTCCTCAATGGACAGATAATGCTGATAGAAAACTAATAAGGAAACAAAGGCCTTCAATTCCAATACACTTTAGATCAGTAGGACTTAACTGATATTTCTAGAACATTCCATCCAAAAGCAACAGACTACACATTCCTCTCAAGCGCACAGGGAACATCCTCCAGGAATGACCACATGCTGGGCCACAAGGTGAGCCCTGGTAAATATAAAATAACTGAAATCACATCAAGCATCTCTTCTGATCACAATGCTATGAGATTAGAAATAAGCTACAACAAAAATCAATTAAAAGAAACAAACAAACAGAAACATGTGGCAGCTAAGCAATATGCTACTAAACAACCAATGGATCACTAAAAAAATCAAAGACAAAATAAAAAGCTACCTAGAGACAAATGAAAATGAAAGCACAATGGTCCAAAACCTATGGGATGCAGTTAAAAGCAGTTCTGAGAGGGAAGTTGATAGAAATTCTACCTCAAAAAATAAGAAAAAATCTCAAATAAACAATGCAAGCTTATACCTAAAACAAATAGAGGAAGAAGAAGAAATGAAACCTAAATTTAGTAGAAGGAAAAGAATCATGAAGATAACAGCAGAAATGAATAAGATATAGACAAAGAAAACAACTGAATATCAATGAGACTAAAAGCTGCTGATTTGAGAAGATAAAACTAAGTTGAGAAATCTTAAGCCAGACACATTAGGAAAAAAGTGAGAGGACTCAAAAAAATAAAATGAGAAATGAAAAAAGGGAAGACACAACTGACTCCACAGGAATACAAAGGATCATAAGAGACTACTATGAACAACTCTATGCCAGTAAAATGGACAACCTGGATGAAATGACAGATTCTTAGATATGGTTTCCCCAGACTGAACCAGGAAGAAACAGAAAATGTGAACAGATGAATCACAAGCACTGAAATTGAAACTATGATTAAAAACTTCCAGCGAACAAAAGTCCATGACCCGATGGCTTCACAGGTAAATTCTATCAAACATTTAGAGAAGTTAACACTTATCCTCTGAAACAGTTCCAAAAATTGTAGAGGAAGGAAAACTTCCAAACTCATTCTATGAGGCCACTATCACCCTGATACCAGACAAAGATATCACAAAAACCAAAATTACAGGCCAGTATCACTGATGAGTACAGATGAAAAAATCCTCAACAAAATATTATCAATTCAAATCCAACAATACATTAGAAGGATCATTCACATGATCAAGTGGGATTCATCCAAGGGATGGAAGGATTTTTCAGTATATGCAAATTAATCAATGTGATACATCACATCAACAAATTGAAGAATAAAGACCAGATGATAATTTCAATAAATGCAGAAAACCTTTGGACAAAAGTCAGCAATATTTGTGATAACAGCTCTCCAGAATCTGGGCAGAGTGGGAACATACCTCAACACAATAATGATCATATATGACAAACCTACAGCTAACATCATACTTAATTGTGAAGAGCTGAAAGCATTTCCTTTAAGATCAGGAAAAAGACAAGGATGTCCACTCCCACTACATATATTCAACATAGCTTTGGAAGTCCTAGCTGTAGCTATAAGAAAAGAAAATAAGGTAAAGGGAATTTAAACTGGAAAAGAAGAAGTTAAACTGTCACTGTTTGCAGATGACATGATGTTGTATATGTAGGATCCTAAAGATGGTTTCAGAAAGCTACTAGAATTCATCAATGAATTTGGTAAAGTTTCAGGCTACAAAATTAATATGGACAAATTTGTTGCATTTCTACACACTAGCAATAAAAATGAGAAAAAGAAATGTAAGAAACAATTTCATGGATTATCATATCGAAAAGAATCAAATACATAAGAATAAGACCACCAAGGGCTGCCCTGGTAGCTTAGATGGTAAAGAATCTGCCTGCAGTGGAGGAGACCTGGGATCAATCCCTGGGTCAGGACGATCCCCTGAGAAGGGATGGCTACCCACTCCAGTATTCTTGCCTGAAGAATTCCACGGCAGGTCGAGAAGCAACAGAGTCAGAATTGAACATGGAACAACAGAATGATTCAAAATGAATATGTCAAGGCTGTATATAGTCACCCTGTTTATTTAACTTCTATGGAGAATACATCATGCAAAATGTCAGGCTGGATCATTTATTTTTTGGAATTGAGCTGCAGGAGTTGCTTGTATATTTTTGAGATTAATTCTTTGTCTGTTGCTTCATTTGCTATTATTTTCTCCCAATCTGAGGGCTGTCTTTTCAAACGTGGACAGCATCTTAAAAATCAGAGACATCACTTTGCCTGCCAAGGTCTGAATAGTCAAAGCTATGGTTTTTCCAGTAGTCATGTATGGATGTAAGAGTTAGACCATAAAGAAGGCTGAATGCTAAAGAACTGATGCCTTCAAATTTGGTTCTGGAGAAGATTCTTGAGAGTCCCTTGGCTAAGTATAATATGTCAAAAGGGCTTCTCATATAAAGAAAATGCCTACTGATGCAGGGAACACAAGTAATGTAGGTTCGACCCTTCAGTTGGGAAGATTCCCTGGAGAAGGAAATGACAACCCATTCTAGTATTCTTGCCTGGCAAATTCCACAGATAGAGGAGCCTGGCAGGCTACTGTTCATGGGGTCTCAAAGAGCTGGAAACAATTCAGCGTGCGCGCATGCACACACACACACACACACACACACACACATGTCAGAGAGAGAAGCACAAATACTGTATAATTTTTCTTAAGTGGAACCTAAAAACCAATGAAAAAGCATAAAACAGAAACAGAGTTATAAATATAGAGGAGAGACAGGTGGCTGCCAGAATGGAGGCACCTGGGGAAAGAAAGAAATAGGTGAAAGAGATTAAGAGATACAACTTCCGATTTTGAAATAAATGAGTCATGGGTATGAAATGCAAGGTGTGGGGAATCTAATCAATACCTATGCAGTATCTTTGAAATCAAGAAAATTAGAAATATCATGGGCACATTTCATGCAAAGATGGGTGCAATAAAGGACAGAAATGGTATAGACCAAACAGAAGCAGAAGATATTAAGAAGAGGTGGCAAGAATACACAGAAGAACTGTACAAAAAAGATCATCATGACCCAGATAACCAAGATGGTGAGATCACTCACCTAGAGCCAGACATCCTGGAATGCGAAGTCAAGTGGGCCTTAGGAAGCATCACTATGAACAACGCTAGTGGAAGTGATGGAATTCCAGTTGAGTTATGTCAAATCCTAAAAGCTGATGCTGTGAAAGTGCTACACTCAATATGCCAGCAAATTTGGAAAGTTCATAGCAGTGGCCACAGAACGGGGAAAGGTCAGTTTTCATTCCAATAGCAAAGAAGGGCAATGCCAAAGAATCTTCAAACTACCACATAATTGAACTCATTTCACATGCTAGCAAAGTAGTGCTCAAAATTCTCTAAGCCAGGCTTTGACAGTATGTGAATCAAGAACTTCCAGACTTTCAAGCTGGATTTTGAAAAGGCAGAGGAACCAAAGATCAAATTACAAACATCCATAGGATCATAGAGAAAGCAGTATTCCAGAAAAACATCTACTTCTGCTTCATTGTCTACGCTAAAACCTTTGACTGTGTGGATCACAACAAACTGTGGAAAACTCTTCAATAGACATGAACACCAGACCACCTTACCTGCCTCCAGTTAGAGCTGTACACAGAACAACAGACTGGTTCAAAACTGGGACAGGAATATGTCAAGGCTGCATATTGTCACCCTACTTATTTAACTTATATGCAGTGTACATCATGTGAAATGACGGGCTGGATGAAGCGCAAGCTGGAATCAAGATTGCTGGGAGAAAAACAATAACCTCAGAGATGCAGATGACACCACACTTACGGCAGAAAGCAAAGAGGAACTAATGAACCTTTTGATGAAAGTGAAAGAGGAGAGTAGTAAAAAAAAGCTGGCTTAAAGCTGAACATTCAAAAAACTAAGATCATGGCATCCAGTCCCATCACTTCATGGCAAATAGATGGTGAAACAATGGAAACAGTGAGAGACTTTATTTTCTTGGGCTCCAAAATCACTGCAGATGATGACTGCAGCCATAAAATTAAAAGACGCTTTCTCCTTGGAAGAAAATCTATGACAAACCAAGACAGCAGATTAAAAAGCAGAGACATTAATTTGCTGACAAAGGTCTGTATAGTCAAAGCTGTGGTTTTTCCCATAGTCATGTATGGATGTGAGAGTTGGACCATGAAGGAGCCTGAATGCCAAAGAATTGATGCTTTTGAGCTGTGGTGCTGGAGAAGACTGTTAAAAGTCCCTTGGACAGCAAGGAGATCAAACCAGTTTACCCAAAAGGAAATCAATTCTGAATGGTCATTGGAAGGTCTGATGGTGAAGTGGAAGCTCCGATACTTTGGCCACCTGATGCGAAGAGCCGACTCATTAGAAAAGACTCTGATGCTGGGAAAGATAGAAGGCAGGAGGAGAAGCAGACAATAGATGAGATGGTTGGATGGCATCACCGATTCCATGGAAATTGAGTTTGAGCAAATTCTGGGAGATGGTGAAGAACAGGGAAGCCTGGCATTCTACAGTTCCATGGGTTCGCAAAGAGTCAGATACAACTGAGTGACTGAACAACAATCTTTGTATAATGATGTATCATTTCTAGACTTATTGTGATAATCATTTGAATAGTACAGAAATATTGAATTAATATTTTGTATAACAGAGACTAACATAGGGTGAAGTGAAAGTTAGTCACTTAGTTGTGTCTGACTCTTTGTGAACCCACGTCCGTGGAATTCTCCAGGCAAGAATATTGGAGTGGGTTGCCATTTCCTTCTCCAGGGAATGTTCCCAACTCAGGTCTCCCACATTGCAGGCAGACTCTTTACCAACTGAGCCACCAGGGAAGCCGACATGGGGACATAGGTCAATTATAATTCAAAACAAACAAGCAAACTCAAAAAAGGGACTAGATTTATGGATACTGGGGTCAGAGGTTGAGAGGAGGGGAACTGGATTAAGGAAATCCAAAGGTATTGATACTAAAAAGAAGAACTGCTGTAACTAAACAAGAAAATCAAGTAATGCAGTTAAAAAATGGGCTAAGGTCTTGAATAAAGATTAATTTCTCCAGACATGATGTAGAAAACACCAAAAAGGATATGAAAAGGTGACTCAATATCACTAGTGATTGTAAAGCTACAGTGAAAAGCAAAATGTGATATCACCTCATACCCCTTGGAATGATTAACAACAACAAAAAATAACAACTCTTAAGGAGGGTGGGATGAATAAACTGTGAAATGTGAAATGCTGGTGGGATTATAAAATGATGCAACCACTCTGGACCTCAGTATTATGAGTCTTCATAATATTAAAACTAGAAATAACATATGATCCAGCAAACCCACTTCTAAGTATATCTCCAGAATAACTGAAATTACTATCAGAGAGATTTGCATTCCCATCTCTCATGTTAATTGTAGCATTATCACAATCACCAAGATGTGGAACCAAACTAAGTGATTGCTAATATATGAATTCATAAAGAAAATATCTATATATACAAATGTATGATATGATATGATTTATATGCATATATGAATAACATGAAATATTATTCAGTCATAAAGAGAATGAAATCCTGCCATCTTCAAAAACATGGATGAAGCTGGATGTATTATTCAAAGAGAAATAAACCAGACACAGAAAGACAAACATTGTATTGTCTACCTTATATGTGGGATCTAAAATATATCATACTCACAGAAGCAGAGAGGAGAATCGTGGTTGCCAGGGGGTGGAGGTATGGAAAATGAGGCCTTGTTGGCCAACGTGTATGAAGTTTCATTAAAGCAAGATAAAGATTCTACACATCTATTTCACAACAATGCAGACAGACTTAACACTATTGCACAGTGAACATATAATACTTAAGATGGTCAGTTTTACACAATGTGTATTTTACCAAAATAAAACCACTACAATATTGTAAAGTAATTAGCCTCCAACTAATAAAAATAAATGGGAAAAAAAGAAAAAATTTAAAAGAATGACAATGTGAGGTTTAAAGTAAAAAATACAGCACTGTATTCAAATATTAATTTAATAAGATGTTAGGTATAGTATACACACTTTTCTTTCGTAAAGAAGATATTAACCTTCAAAACATGATATGAGTACTGAAGAGAAGGGACATACCAGAACAAGTCCTGCAGCAAACTTTGGATCACATGCCATTCCATGATATGTTGCTCCTACATAAGTAGGATGGTCCCTGTAACTAAATAATAACATTATTTTGTGGATAAATGCACTTTAAGTTATTAATGAATCAATGATCTTTAAGAATTAGATTCCTCAATAAAGCTGCTTTCTTTAAAATATGAATATTGTGTATCATGTCTAATGCTCTCAATCATTTTGTAGTTGGGTAGTCTCCCCTGGTGCCTCCAAATTAAGTTCAAAAGTCAACGTTAACACTGTATGATGCACAGCTTAAAATCCAGCAGTGCCTCTTCCTTCCAGAAATTAATCACCACTGCTGTCAACACTGGATGAACAAAGTTCTAAGACAGAAAAGTCAGGATAGATTACTGCCATGAAGTTGCATGTAGTAAAACCTCAGATGGCATAAAAAATGTTGATTGGAGGATGAAAGAGAAAGAGTGTGCAGCACAGTCATCAGGAAAAACAGAGATGGGATGCATTAAGTGTCCACACACACATGAATCCTTAGTTAAAGCTGCTCCTGAACCTCCAAACTTGACCTTAAATTCCACAGAGACACCAGAGATTTATAGATGTATCCATATTACTTAAGGCCTTTCAGAATCATGTTTTTGTTTCTTTCCATCCAAAATAATCAAATCAGTATATAGAAAGACTCTTGAAAGTTACAGTGCAAGCAGCTAAATAGCTACACCTTGGGTCATGATAGAAATTCCATAAGGTCACCACATTACCATACTATGTTTTCTCCTGTAAGCATATTTATATGGATTTATTGCATTCTGTTAACTAATGTCTGCTTTATTTAATGTTAAAATGCTGGTCTTGGTTATTTACCTCTGCGAAATTATTTTAAACCATAGAGGCCCTATGTTTTCCCAAGGCTTTTCATATTTTCAGTTCTTTAAACTCAGAAGTAAGCAGAGCACTCAGGATAATGGCCCACCATGCTTTAGCATCTTACATTGTATCATCAGATTTTTATAGCTTGCGTTCTGCCAACACAGTACTCACAGATTCATTTTTTGAGCTATCTTTGCTATTCTAAATAATAAATTTTGTGAACAATTTTGATATTTAACTTATAAATAGCTTGATAAACTTTATACCAATGAAACAAATTACTTACACTAATAAGTATGCCAAATCATGGGACCTTTGTAATAAAAATGTTTCTCTCCAGGACACAAATCTTTGTAGTACTTCATGTGCATCCCCATCAGTTGAAATCTTATTTCGATCTGACCAGATCTCCAGAGAAGTTAACATAATGGACACTTGAAGCTGAGAATACATCTAAAAACAGGAGATTCATGATATATGGCTATAAGTAATCATAAATATAATACTATACATTTATATGCAATACCAGTATATCTGATTAACTATCTTCTTTTTCAGATGAAATTCATTGGTGGAATAAACTAGTTTGCAGGAGTATACATTTTATAAAATTGCACATGTGGGACTTCACCGGTGGGCTGTAATTAAGAATCTGCTTTTCCCTGCACAGGTCGTGGATTCCACTCCTGGTCCAGGAAGATCCCGCATGCCACAGAGGAACAAAGACCATGCATGGCAACTATTGAGTTGGCACAAGGAACAAACCCACGTGCCGCAACCGAGAACCAACGCAGCCAAACAAATACAGGAGTATTTTAAAAAGTGCACCTGCAATTATTCCAACAATGCTACTGTATTTACACGAATGCTTCTTACTTAAATATGAAATGTAAATACTCACAGTGTTGATTAGACTAAAAATATAGATAATTTTCTCAGATGCAATTGCCACTTCAGAGCCCATATAATCATACTGAAAGACAAATTTTATTTTTTAATCACCAGTGAAAATGGCTAAACTACCACATTTCAATGGATATAAAAATGTTAAAATAATGCAACATGCAAGCAAAAGGACAAAAATATAATTAAGACTTAACAAATACTTAACAAGTTCTAGGCTTAAACCTAGGGACGTTATATAGTAACTGATAATATAAAATAGGGCTCCCCAACTGGCTCAGTACTAAAGAATCTGCCTGCCAATGCAGGAGATGTGGGTTTGATCCCTGGGTCAGGAAGATCCTCTGCAGAGGGAAATGGCAACTCACTCGAGCATTCTTGCCTGGGAAATCCCATGGACAGAGGAGTCTGGAGGGGCTACGGTCCATGGGGTTTCAAGACAGTTGGATATGACACAGTGACTGACTAAACAACAACAATATTAAAATGAGATGGTGATGATTATATTCCTCTTTACACACGCAGTTGTTTAGGATCAAAAGTTAAGATTCCAAGATTGCATAATTAACAAGGATTCCTTTTTATTCACATCCTTGCCAACAATTATTTGTGGCTGTTTTGATTATAGCCATTGTGATAAGTGAGGAGTGATATCTTTCAGTAGTTCTGATTTGCATTTCAGACATGCTGAACATCTTTTCTGTGCTCTGTAGGTCTTCCTTGAAAAACTGTCTGTTCAGTTCTCTTGCACACTTTTAAATTGGATTTTTTTTTTTATATTGAGTTGTATGAACTCTTTATATAGTTTGGATATTAACCATTTATCAGTCATAACTGGCAACTACTCTTTCCCCATTCTACAGGCTGTCTTTTCATTTGTTTATGGTTTCCTTTGCTGTGCAAAAGCTTTTAAGTAGTTACAATTTGCTTATTTTTCCTTTCACTTTCTTTGCCTGAGGAGACAGATAAAATACCACTGTTCTGATTAATGACTGAGAGTGTTCTGCCTATATTTTCTTCCAGGACTAATATGGTTTCCTGTCTTACATTAAATCTTTATTTCATTTTGAATTTATTTTTGTATATGGTGTGAGAAAATGTTCTGCTTTCAGTCCTACATACATAGGTGTCTTGTCTTCCCAGCATCACTTATTTTTAGGACTGCATTTTTCTTTAATGTATAGTCTTACCTCCTTTGTTGTAGATTAATTGACCATAAGTGCATGAGTTTATATCTGGGCTCTTTATTCAATTCCATAGACCTATGTGTCTGTGTTTATTCTTGTATCATACTATTTTGATTACTGCAGCTTAGTGGTATAGTCTAAAGTCAAGGAGTGTGATACTTTCTTCTGTTATTTCTCAATATTGATTGGGCAATTTGGGATCTTTCATGTTTCCATACAAATTTTAGAATTAGTTGTTCTAGTTTCATGAAAATTGCCATTGGTATTTTGACAGGGATTACACTTAATCCTTAAATAGACTTGGGAGTATGGGCACTTCAACAACAGTAATTCCTGAAATCTATGAAAACAGTGTGTCTTTCCATCTGTTTAGGTACAAGTCTTTTACTTCTTTAGATTTTTTCCCTAAGTATTATTCATTCTGATGCAATAGTAAAGGAGACAGTTTTCTTAGTCTATCCTTCTGATAGTTCATTGTTAGTAGACAGAAATGTAACAAATTTCTGTATATTAATTTTGCATCCAGCATCTTTACCAATACATTGGTTACCTCGAGTAGTTTTTGGTGTTGTCTTTAGGATTTTCAGGAGAAGGAAATGGTAACCCTCTCTAGTACTCTTGCCTAGAAAATCCCATGGACAGAGAAGCCTGGTAGGCTATAGTACATGGGATTGCAAAGAGTTGGACATGCCTGAGCAACTTCACTTCTTTTCACTTTAGGATTTTCTATGTGTAGTATCATGTCATCTGAAACATTGACTATTTTGTTTCTTCCTTCCCAAGTGCGATTCTATTTCCTTTCTTTACTGATTGCTAAGGCAAGGACTTCCAGCACTATGTTGAATAAAATTTGCAAGCAAGGACATCTTGCTTATCTTATCTTCAAGGAAGTGCTTTCAGCTTTTCACCATTAAGTATGCTATTAGGTGTGGGTTTGTCATATATGAGCTATATTATGTTGAGGACCATTCTTTTTCTGCCTCTTTTCTGTAGAGTTTTTATCATAAATGGAAGTTGAATTTTGTAAAAATCATTTCCTGTATCTACTGAGATGATCATATGGTTATTATGTGCCTATTGGCCATGTGTAGGTGTACCAGTAATTTTTTTTCTGGATACTGAAAAACCCTTGCATCTCTGGGATAAATTTCACTAAACCATGGTGTATGATCCCTTTAATACAGTGCTGAAACTGGTTTGCTAACATTTTGTTGAGAATGTTTACATCTATGTTTATCAGTGGTATTGGCTTGCTATTTTCTTTTTTTAAAAAAAGATTTATTTGTGGCTATGTCGGATGTTCATTGCTATGCATGGAATTTCTCTGCAGTGTGTAGGCTTCTGATTGTGGTAGCTTCTCTTGTTGCAGAGGACAGGATCTTGGCCAGCAGGCTTCAGTAGTTTCAGGGTGTGGGCTCAGTAGTTGAGGCTTGCTGGCTTAGTTGCTCCAAGACATTGGGATGTTCCCAGAGCAGGGACTGAACACATGTTCCCTGCATTGTCAGGTGAATCTGCTCCAACCAGTAATGCTGAAGAAGCTGAGGTTGAACTGTTCGATGAAGACCTACAAGACCTTCTACAACTAATAACCCCAAATGATATCCTTTTCATTATAGGAGGTTGGAATGCAAAAGTAGGAAGTCAAGAGATACCTGGAGTAACAGGCAAATTTGGCCTTGGACTACAAAACAAAACAGGGCAAAGGCTAAGAGAGTTTTGCCAAAGAATGCACAGGTCATAGCAAACACCCACTTCCAACAACATAAGAGAAGACTCAACACATGGACATCACCAGATGGTCAATACCAAAATAAGATTGATTATATTCGTTGCAGCCAAACATGCAGAATCTCTATACAGTCAGAAAAAAACAAGACTGGGAGCTGACTGTGGCTCAGATCATGAACTCCTTGTTGCCAAACTCAGACTTAAACTGAAGAAAGTAGGGAAAACCACCAGACCATTCAGGTATGACCTAAATCAAATCTCTTACAAGTATACAGTGGAAGTGACAAATAGATTCAAGGGATTAGATCTGATAGAGAGAGTGCCTGAAGATCTAGGGATGGAGGCTCATGAAATTGTACAGGAGGCAGTGATTATGACCATCCCCAAGAAAAAGAAATGCAAAAAGGCAAAATGGTTGTCTGAGGAGGTCTTACAAATAGCTATGAAAAGAAGAGAAGCTAAAGCCAAAGGAGAAAAGGAAAGGTATACCCATTTGAATGCAGAGTTCCAAACAATAGCAAGGAGAGATAAGAAAGCCTTCCTCAGTGATCAATGCAAGAGAAAAGAGGAAAACAATAGCATGGGAAAGACTAGAGATCTCTTTTTGAAAATTAGAGATACCAAAGTAACAGTTCATGCAAAGATGGGCACAACAAAGGACAGAAATGGTATGGACCTAACATAAGCAGAACATTTAAGAAGACGTGGCAAGAATACACAGAAGAACTATACAAAAAAGATTGTCATGACCCAGATAATCACAACAGTGTGATCACTCACCTAGAGCCAGGTATCCTTGAATACGAAGTCAAGTGGGCCTTAGGAAGCATCACTACAAACAAAGCTAGTGGAGGTGATGGAATTCCAGATGAGCTATTTCAAGTCCTAAAAGATGATGCTGTGAAAGTGCTACACTCAATATGTCGCAAATNGGGACTGGGATGGGGAATACATGTAAATCCATGGCTAATTCATTTCAAGGTATAACAAAAACTATTATAATGATGTAAAGTAATTAGCCTCCAACTAATAAAAACTAAAACATCTCCAAAAAAAAAAAAAAGAAAATTTCTTGCATCCCTGGGATAGATCCCAGGGATCATGGTGTATGATCCTTTTAATATGTTCTTGGTGTTGGTTTAGTGGTATTTTGCTGAGCATATTTGCACTTATATTCATCAATGATTTTGACTTGCAGTTTTCTTTTATGTGATATCTTTGTCTGGTATTGATATCAGGGTGATAGTAGTTTTGTAGAATGAGCTTGGGAGTGTTCCTTCCTCTGCACTTTATAGGAAGAATTTCAAAACAGTAAATGCTGACTCATCTAAATGTGTGACAGAATCTGCTTGTGAAGCCATCTGATACTGGGTTTTTGTTTGTTGAAAGATTTTAAATCACAGTTTCAATTTTGTTACTTGTGATGCTTCTATCCATATTTTCTATTTATTCCTTGTTCAATCTCCACAGACTGTACTTTTCTAAGAATTTGTCCATTTCTTCTAGATTGTCCATTTTATTGGTGAGATCTTTTATAAGAGTTTGTATTTCTGTGATGTCCTTTGTAATTTCTCTTTCATTTCAAATTTTATTGATTTGAATCTGCTCTCTTTTTTCTTGGTGAATCTGTTGAGAAGCATATCAGTTTTCTGTATTTACTCACAAAATTTTGTGCAATTTCTCACTAAAAGAACTGGCTTTGAGTTTTATTGATCTTTGCTATTTTTTTTACTTGTCTCTATTTCTTTCATTCTTGCTTTGATCTTTATGATTTCTTTCCTTCTACTAATTTTGAGTTTTATTTGTTCTTCTTTCTATAGTTTCTTTAGGTATAAGATTAGGTTTTTTGAGACTTTTCTCTTAAGCTAAGATTTTATTTCTGTAAATTTCTGTTAGAACTGCTTTTGCTATATCCTATAGGTTTTGGATTATTGTTATTTCATTGTCATTTGTTTTGAGGTATATTTTTATTTCCTCTTTGACTTCTTCAATGATCCATTGGTTATTTAGTAAAATATTGTTTCAGTTCAGTTCAGTTCAATTCAGTCGCTCAATCGTGTCCGACTCTTTGCGACCCCATGAATTGCAGCACACCAGGACTCCCTGTCCATCATCAATTCCCGGAGTTTACTCAAACTCATGCCCATTGAGTCGATGATGCCATCCAGCCATCTCATCCTCTTTTGTCCCCTTCTCCTCCTGCCAAAAGACGCTTGACATAATTTCTGAAATTTACCAAGGCTGGTTTTATAGTCTAGCATGTGATCTATTCTGTAGAATGTGCCATGTGCAGTTGGAAAAATTTGCAATCTGCATCCTTTGGATGGAATGTTCCATATATATAGAATGTGTCATTTAAGGCTTTTGATTTCTTATTGATTTTCTGTTTGGATGATCTGCCCATTGATGGAAGTGAGGTGCTAAATTGCCTACTATTATTGAGTTACTGTCAATTTCCCCTTTTATGTCCATTAATATTTACTTTATGGTTTTGGATGCTTCTATGTTGGGTGCACAGATATTTACATTTGTTATACCTTCTTTTTGGATTGATCCCTATCATTATGTAGTGTCCTTGTCTCTTGTAACAACCTCTTTTTCAAATCTGTTTTGTTAGATATAAGTATTGCTACCCTGACCTTTTTTCAATTTCCTTTTGCATGGAATACTTTTTCCCATTCCTTCACTTTCTGTCTGTGAGTCTTTAGATCTGAAGTGAGTGGCTTCTCGGCAGTGCATAGATGAGTCTTGTCATGTATCCATTTAACTACTCTATTTCTTTTTTATGGGAGCATTTATTTCATTTCCATTTAAAGCAATTATTGATATGTATGTTCACATTTCCATTTTGCACATTGCTTTGCATTTGTTCCTGTAGGTCTTTTTTGTTCCTTTCTTCTTCTTTTGTTCCCTTCTTATATGATTTGATGACTACCTTAACATTATATTTGGGTATCTTTTACTTTTCTTGGTGCATATAGTATACATTTTTCTTTTGCAGTTACCTTGATGTTTTTATATCAATCTATACATACACATATGTATTTATATATGATTAAGTTGCTGATCTCTTAATTTAAAATACATTTTAACAACCATTTATGTATATTCAACTCCCCTCACAATTACTGCTTTTAACATCTTATTTTACATCTAATTTAAGTATCTCCTAACTCCTTATTATAGATATAGATGCTTTTGTTAAAAGACAAAATTCTTCCTACCTTCCTTCTAGCTTTGCTTGTGAGATGATTTCCAACATTTACTGTATGCTTGCTTCTACTAAAAAGCTTTTCCTTTCATAATTTTTGTATTTCCAGTTTTGGACTTTTCTTTCCCCTTAGTATAACTGCTTTACCATTTCTTGTAATGCTAGTTCCTGAACTCTTTTAAATTTAACTTGTCTATAAAGATTTTGATCTCTAAATCAAACTTGAAGAGCCTTACTGGACAGAGTATTCTTGGTTGTACATTTTTCACTTTCAACATGTTACATACATTGTGCCACTCCCTTCTGGACTGCAGAGTTTCTGCTGAAAAGTCAGCTGATAGCTCTGTGGACATTCTTTGTATGTTTTTGTCCTTTTTCTTTTCCTGCTTTCAGTGTCCTCTTTTCATCTTTCACTTGCCAATTTAATTGCTATCTCTCTCTCTTCTCCTTCTGGGGGGCCTATAATGTACATATAAATCTGCTTAATGTTGTCCCAGAGTTCTCTTTCAAGGTTCTCATTTCTCGTCATTCTTTCTTTTTTCTGTTCAGCGTCAGTAATTTCCATTACACTGTCTTCCAGCTCACTGATCCATTCTTCTGTATCATTTAGTCTACTATTGGTAGCTTCATGTGTATTTTTCATTTCAGTGTTGTATTCTTCATCTATGTTTGGTTGTTCTTCATATTAATATTTACTTGCTCTGTGTATGCATTCTTCTTCTGAGATTTTTGATGGTCTTTACAAGCACTACCCTAACCTCTTTCTCGACTAGGTTGCCTATCTCCATTTCACTTATACCTTCTTTTGGGCTTTTCTCTTGTTGCTTCATCTGGAACTCGTCTGTCTAAGTATTTGTCTAAGTATTTGTTTTGTATGTACCTGGTAGATCGGTTGTGCTTCTTAATGCTGGAGAAGTGGCCTTTTGCAGGCACTATGTGTTTCAGCAGCCGACTCAACTTTCATCACCTTTGGTGTATACTCTAGTGGCTTCCCGTGTGTGACTGTGTGGGTCTTTCTGTTGTTGAAGGCTGACTAGGTGAGAGGTCTGTTAGTCTTGTTTGGCCCCTGGTCCAGTTGGTTGGCAATTCTGCCTCATGCATTGGCTGCCAGGTGCTGGTTGGCAGGACCAGGTCATAAGGCAGCTGGCTGTGAAACTCCAGGGAGTTCTGGGATAGTGCTGGCTCAGGGCTGTATGGAGTAAAGGTGCAGAACATTCCAAGGCCATAGCACTTCCACTGCTTGGTGAAGCCTGGTCCTGGGGCCTGGCTTTTGATAGGCAGAGATGGGGCCTGGAGTCTGGTTGTAGGGCCCAGGGATCCCAGGAACTGATGTCATAATATTCTATTATTGCTTTTATAAAAATTATTTAAAGATTTGAAAATTTCATTTTATGCAAAAATTCTAGAACATCATGACTCTTACTGACTTATACAAAATTACTAGTAATAATGGACAAAACTGGTTTTTTTTTTTTTAACTTACTGCCTGTGTTTGCTAAAACGAATTGTATAGATGAAAAGTTCCAGAATCAAATGTGTTCCTATCTGTTCTTCTCCCTTCCCAATTTATTAGCTATTTACCCAGTGTGTTCTACAGAATGTTTGCCATCAAATTGTAGCCTCCCTCTTACTAACATTATGTTTTTCATAGTTAATTAGCAGCTAAATTTTTAGCATTAAATAATATCCCACTGTCTGATGTACCACAACTTTTCCACTGACTTACTAAAGAAAATCTATGTTCTTTCCAATTTTATAAATATCAATAAAGCTACCATAGCCATATAAAAAATGATTATTTACACCAGAAAACCCAAGCATTTACACAGCACAGAATACTCTTTTAAAAGATAATGTTTATTAAAAAGATCTTCTTCAATTTACTAATAAATAAAACACTTTAAAATGAAAATTGACTTAAGGAAGAGTTTCACCCCAATTTGGGGGTGAACCCAGAAATATATGCCACTAGTTATAATCCAATAGTTTACTAGATTTCCCCTTACATACAAAATTTTACATTAGTTCTAATAAATATTGTTATTGATCCCCTTATGCCAATGGAAAACCAACTGATAATGTGTCTTTATGTCCTGTCACACTGATACATATATTTTTAACAGAGTAATGCATTTCTGAATTGCAAAGGTTATCTTTATATTCCTTTTCAACTTAAATGAAAGGGTGTAAGGAAAATGTATCAATAATGCTTACCAAAGCTTTATCCACAATGACACATATTTTCAGAACTCTTTTCAACATCACACCTGAATCTTTCTGCAAAACAGAGAACATGAATTGAATAAAACATTTTAAAAAGTTTATCTTGTTTGTAATTATCATGTACATTATATAATGATACATATGTATATATATTTATACATATATAAATAATATAAATATAAATATACACATAAATATACACACACTCACACAGGTATAGATAGGTAGATAGATAGATTATAGCTACAGATACAAACATGTAAAGATATAATTACAAGAAATATGAGGATCAATGCCCACTGAGTAAATAATCTGGGAGATTTTGCATAAACATTTTCAGAACAAATCAGAAGCTTTTGCTTTATATTCTTGATAATTAGAATCCTCAATAAAAGTTATGAAAATGAGGGAGGATTCTTGTTTCTTTCCCCTGAAAAACTTCTTCTAGGTCCCTGATTTAACCTTCAAGCTAAATAAATTCCCATCAACTTTCCACCAAATGTTGGTCCATTTTATCATCATTTTTGTACTTGCAATTATTTACCATGGCCTACTCTCAATAAAATGCATGTATTTTAAGAACACAGTTACATGAACTGGTAACAATGTATACAGCCATGCATCCATCACTATCAGTAACATAAAAAATGTTTCCATTACCCTATAAAGTAAATAGCTTATAAGGCTCAAGGCAACCAGTGATCTGCTTTCTCTCACCATAGGTTACAATAATTTATCCTATAACTTTATATAAGTGAAATCATATGATATGTCTTCTTCTATATCTGGTTTCTTTAACTCAGTACCTGTCTGTGTTGCTGCGATTATTGGTAATTCATTTGTTTTTATTGTTACCAAGTGTGAGATTTTAGAAACATAAAACAATTTGTTAATACATTTAACTGTTGATGACCATTTGGATTATTCAAACATCTTAGCTATTGTAAATAACACAGATGTGAATATCCATGTACAGGTCTTTGGATAGTTACAGTCTTTCATTTTTCTTGGTTCAATGCTTAGAACTGGAATATCTGATTCACATGATACCTATGTATGTATATAGAAATATAAAAATTTGACTGTTTTATAAAGTTATTAGGTTGACTAAAATGTTTGTTCAGGGCTTTTCATTACATCAAATAGAAAAATCTGAACGAATCTTTTGGCCAACTCAATAATTTGATTATTCTGCATTTTTTGCCAAGAACTAATGTCAACTGCTCCATACTCTTGCCTCTATTTGGCATTGACAATCTTTTACATTGCATGCATTCCTGCCAGTATGTGCTGAGAACTCATTGAGATTTTCATTTGTAGTTCCTGTATGATTAATGATGTTGAACATCTATTCACAGTCTTATGGCTCATTAATTTGGTTTCTCCTAAGTCCCCTACTATAAATTTTATATTTGGTTTGACACTTAAGCTTACCCTCTAATTCATTTTTTTAGAATAAGGATTTCCATGTGGAAATCCAATTTTCTTGCATAATGTGATGAAGACATCAGTTTTTACTTTCCAAAGACCTTAGCACCTTTGCGTATAATCATTTGGGCAAGAGCACATGGTTATACTTCTCCTCTATTGTATCCCACTGTTCCACACATAAACCAATACCACGATATGTATCTCCAGGGCAGAAGTCAGCAAACTATAGCCTATGGTATACTCACCTCAGTTCAGTTCAGTCACTCAGTCGTGTCCGACTCTTTGTGACCCCATGAACTGCAGCACACCAGGACTCCCTGTCCATCACCAACTCCTAGAGAGTACCCAAACTCATGTCCATTGAGTTGGTGATGCCATCCAACCATCTCATCCTTTGTCGTCCCCTTCTCCTGCCCTCAATGGTTCCCAGCATCAGGGTCTTTTTCAATGAGTCTGCTCATAGCATCAGGTGGGCAAACTATTGGAGTTTCACCATCAACATCAGTTCTCCCAGTGAACACCCAGGACTGATCTCCTTTACGATGAGCTGGTTGGATCTCCTTGCAGTCCAAGGGACTCTCAAGAGTCTTCTCCAACATCACGGTTCAAAAGCATCAATTGTTTGGTGCTCAGCTTTCTTTATAGTCCAACTCTCACATACATACATGACCACTGGAAAAACCAAAGCTTTGACTAGATGGACCTTTGTTGGCAAAGTAATGTCTCTGCTTTTTAATATGTTAAGTTGGTCATAACTTTCCTTCCAAGGAGTAAGTGTCTTTTAATTTCATGGCCACAATCAGCATCTGCAGTGATTTTGGAGACCCCCCAAATAAAGTCAGCCACTGTTTCCACTGTGTCCCCATCTATTTGCCATGAAGTATACCCTCCTGCTTGCAAAAAATATTTTCTTGGATCACAGCCATACCTGTTTGTTTATAGTTTACCTATGCTGATTTCAAGCTACAAGGACTGAGTGAAGTAGCTGCAACAGATCATATGCCTCACAAGCCCAAAATATTATCTGATCCCTTAAGAAGAAACAACACAAGTCCTTCACTCTTTTTCAAACAACTGTTTGACTTCATAAAGATATTTGCTTCTCCATAATCAATTTGAGAATCTATTTCTACAAAAATGTTTTTCTGGAATTTTGACTGGAATTATATTGACTCTACACATCAATTTGGGGAAAATGGATATCTTGTCTTTTTTTCCTGTAACTTTTCTAGAGTCTCTTGATTGCTTTGATGGAGATTTTTTAGCTCTTATGTGCAGAGTTATCTCACTAAAGAACTAGGGTGATTGTTTTCCTTTCAAAATGTATACTCTTTATTATTAGTCTTTTTCCTATTGCAATAACTAAGAATTCAGTAAAATGTTGAGTGTAAGTATAATGAAGACAAACAACCTTGCATTATTCTGAATCTCAGGGGTCATTTTCACCAGTTTGGGCACTAAAAAATACACCATAGACTAGATGCTTAAACCATAAACAGTATTTCTGACATTCTAGAGGTTGGAAAGTTCAAGATTCAGGCACCATCAGATGTGATGAAAAGAAATCAGATTTTTAAAAATATTGATTTAGAACCCCTGCTTAAATCATTTTGATTCACAATTTCATTTGTATTGGAACTCATACAACATCACCTGTGTTGTTATTTTAATTGAATATCTTATCCCTCAAATTTCCTTGTCATTTTTGTTTATACTTTAGTTGTGTGTGATTTCTGGATTTTATGTGATGAACTTTCGAGTTTTTACACATGGTGGCTCAGATGGTAAAGCGTCTGCCTACAATGCGGGAGACCTGGGTTCGTTTCCCGAGTCGGAAAGATCCTCTGGAGAAGGAAATGGCAACCCACTCCAGTACTCTTGCCTGGAAAATCCCATGGATGGAAGAGCCTGGTAGGCTACAGTCTGTGGGGTTGCAAAGAGTTGGACACGATTGAGCGACTTCACCTTACCTTACCTCAGCATGCTTTTAATTCCCAAGAACTGTTATCTGCTGAATTTTATTTTTTAAACAGTGCTCTGTTCTTAATTTGTGGAGGAAATATTTTCTCCAACCTTTCTGAGTATGGGCTTCCCTAGGGGCTTAGTCAGTAAACAATCTGCCTGCAATGTGGGAGACCTGGGTTCGAACCCTGGGTTGGAAAAATCCCCTGGAGAAGGCCATAGCAACCCATTCCAGTGTTGTGCCCTGGAGAATCCCATGGCTAGAGGAGCCTGACGGGCTGCAGTCCATGGGGTCACAAAGGGTCGGACATGACTGAGAGATTAAGCATAGCACACCTCTCTGAGTATATTGTCATGGTGCTTTCTTCACTCTCTCTCTCCACTCCTTAGTGCCTCAAGATTAAACACTTTGAATTTTTCTATGCAAATATCTATCAGTTAAATTGTTTCATCCTATGTCTAGTCCTTCTTCATATTAGGCATTGACCACATATTGCAATATCTACGACCACATATGGAGCTTATGACCTGCTGTCTTCAGAGAGTGTAAATTCTCTGGAATGTTTAATGCAAACATCTTGCTGTCAACATACTTAGTTTTGATTCTTTGGAGTGGTTCACTTCCCTCCTGGATCCTAATGAACATCTTAGAATGTTTATACCATTTCCCACTGTGCAGTGTGTCAAGTTTAATATATTCACACTAATACTGGTATCATAACCACCTTCTATTATGACTTACAAAGACATTTAGGCCTGCTGACCCCACTTCACACATTCCACCCATGAAAAGAGTCTTAGACTATCTGTGAGTTTTCAGCAGAAACAATTGTTTAGTAGAGGAAATTAGGCTTTATATGTATTTTTAAACTTATTTTCAACCACTTCTCTTCCTAGACACACCCTTAATATCATTTCCTTAGGTATTTGGACTCACAGTTAAAAAGACATTTAAAATCTTCCAGCAAACAGACGCCCAGGACCAGATGTCTTCACAGCTGAATTCTACCAAAAATTTAGAGAGGATCAAACACCTGTCTTACTCAAATTCTTCCAGAAAATTGCAGAAGGTAAACTTCCAAACTCATTCTATGAGGCCACCATCACCCTAATTCCAAAACCAGACAAAGATGCCACAAAAAAAGAAAACTACAGGCCAATATCACTGATGAACATAGATGCAAAAATCCTTAACAAAATTCTAGCANGATTTAAGTTTCTGGCAGGTTTGAGGCAAAATACTGACATTGATGAAGATAATGTAAAACTTTATAATACACTGCAAACTTGTTAATGAGTGTCATCAGTCCAAAGGATATATAAGATGAGCCACTGTATGGGAAAACTGGAAATTCTTGAAGCCTTACAATTTATATATGAAAGAAATTTGAGAAAAGATTTTTCCCAACTCTACAATTAAAAAAAATGTACATTGTACTACTACCAATAAGTAATAAATTTTTCCAAATGATCAACAACAAAAAAACAAATTTTGAACAACCATCAGATTGGATTTTTTCTACTATTTTTATAGAAAATAACATAAATCATAATGCGAAGAGGTGTTCAAAGTGTATGAAACTAAAAAAGGTAGAAAAGCAAGTATTACCAAAGAGTCAAGCAACAACTAATAAAACCTGTTAATTTTTTTAAATGTCACA